TTCAAATCTTTTGTCAGAAATATAAAACAAGTAATAAAACTGATGGAAGATTCATGAAACAAATCATTCCCTTCTTCTCTGGAGGGAGAATTGGGAAGGAGTGCAAATAAAAATGAAATGAAGGCTATGTGGTGAGCCCACACATATGCAAGTCAATCCTTTTTAATGGAGAGCTGTCCTAATTTCCAACGTAGTGAAGTTTTTTTTTATTGGCATAAACTCATGGAATATTCAAGTTGGAAGTGACTCTGGTGATCATATATTCTAGCTTCTTCATTGTATACAGGACGAAATTCCTTTAGTACCAAGAGCACTGACCTTCATGAAGTAAATGATTGCTGTTTCAGTAAAAAAATCTCACTCCTGCTCTTGCCCCATGGGAAGACTACGTTTCCTGTGCCATGTGCTGTGTGCCAGGAAAGGAAAAGGAAAGATAAAGTGCAGTCTTTTGAGTGAGAGGTAAGATTTTGGGCATTTCTGAGCAGCAAACATTTCCTCAGTGTTTACATGAAAGGCAAGAATGGAATCTGGAATAATATGGTTGTTAAAAGTCAGTAATGATATATATTAACATTCAGTTCATTGTTGAAGTAGAACATGAAGAAAAGTTTATAGCACAAATCTTTCATTTCTTTAAAATCTTGGACCTCTTAGAATTCCTCATTTTCATAAGCATCAGGTTTATTTATTCATTTTTATAAATAAATAAGGGTGTATTTTAAGAGGGTAGTTTTATTTCTCTTTATATCTCACATATCTATACTATAGTTTTTTAGTTATTTTTCAAATAGCACTAGAAAATAAGCAATCACTTTGAGTTTTCCCAATTTTTAAGCAATAATTCCCAGTTGTATCCCTTGATTTAGGGCTATTTGTATGAAATAAACTGGGTATGCACAGATGAAAGACACAGTGCCCCTGCCTTTAAGAAGCTGGGAATGGAGGAGGGAGTAGGACATTGTGTTCTAAAAGAGTGACCAATCCTGATGGCTAGAACATAGAAAATAAAAAGAAAGTTAAGAAGACATAGGATATGCTGTGGTTGGAGTTGAGTTGGAAAATATTTGTGACCCTGCAGCCCTGTGTCCAATCAAAGCAATTGGGACCTTATCAAGGGAGCCACTGAAAGTTTGTAGCAAGGGAGTGTCTTAGATAACATTGGTGTTATGGTGAGAGACTAGATGCATTCATACCGCTTATCAACAGGAGCTGATGAAAAGAGGAAGAAACATGTCCATCAAACTTTTGAGGGAAACATTGACCTAAAAAAAATTACTGAAAGGCCTGGGAATTACCAGTATCTTTCAGTGGGAAGATTCTCCTGAAGATTCTTTAAGGGAGACAACTGCTAACACCTGAGCTTGAACTTACTGAAGGAACTAACTTGTAAGGAAAGTAGGCATAACTGGAAAATTCCTAATGATATGAGTTCCCTAAGCCTGTACCTTCCCTTACCTGACTCCATCTGTATGTTCATACTGTATGAAATATTTGCAGGTAGTAAACCAAAGATAGAGTAATATATACAGTTGAATAAAAGCTGGAAGTGAAGCATATCTAATGTAAAGATGAAAATGAGATTTAAATAAGTATAAGGTAAAGCGTGCAACACAAAGATACCACTTTACTGATAAGAAATTCAACTAAGAAGAATTATTTGGTACCATTTCGAAAACTCTTAGAGAATAGGATCCTAAAGCTTTGATCAATAATTCTGTTCTTTTATCATGTCAACCTCATTTGGTTTTTATATTGTACCTAGTTCTTCCTATACCAAGTTAACTTTATTGTTGTCTCTAGACACTTTTGTAAAGAGTATGGAAGTTTCAAAGGTTTTAATTATCTTGGCTAAATAGGAGTTACTAGTATTTCCAACACTAGCACTTGAATTCTAATTATCTTCTCAAATTGGACTTTGGATTTCTTTTTTTCACTTCATCTACCTTGAATTCACAGTTATAGGTGACGATCTGGAAATTGTATCTTTATGAGACTGAGCTGGGATCTAGTATCTACTCAAAAAATATAAAACGATTTTAGGAAGCAGTTAGATTTACTAAGCTGGTTTTGGTAACATATTTTAAAACCTAATGGACATCACTAAAAACAAACTAGAAAATAAAATTTCTCACTATCACTTTTTTCTCATATTCACAGAATGGTGATTTTGCTATATGCTCAAGTTTTAAATGAATATGTGAAGTCTCTTACAAATTCTAGGATTACTGAAAAATAAAATCCATAGATTTCTTATCATTATTCCTTTCCTCAAATTCAGAGAATTTTCATGGTATCATATGCTCAGTAGCTTTTAAATGATTATAGGGAGTATTTTATCACTAATTTTTAGAACTACTTAAGTCACATCTACCATTAAAATTTGTAGGGAAACTCAGGCTAGCTCTTACAATATACCATTTCAGCTAGATGGGTTGGATATTGAAAAAATTGAAATCTGCCAGTGTATGTTCTTACAAACAGTAATGTGATTAAAATTACAATTATATTGTTCTTTAAATAGAGATGTTCAATGGACTATTTGCAAAATATTCAAATTTTCCAATTAAATGATATAATAGCAAGCACATGAAAAAGACAGTTACTATACTGGTCTATAATAAAAAGAAAAAGCAAAGTTTTATGCAATTTCAAAAATATATTCTATGTGGGAGCAAAGTTAAATGTTAAAAAAAGTAACCTATGTGGGAGAATATCCAAATGCCCCCAAGGAGAAGCAGCGTGCGCTGGGCCACCTCCTTTGAGTCTGAACATCCTTAAAACACACCAAGGAAATGCTGCTGTGTTTCCTTGTTTTTCATCAGGGGTAGAGTCTGACACTCACCATCTCAGTGAATTCTCAACAGGAATAACATAGGTGGTCCAGATGCCATTGGATTAGACAAACTCCACATCATATCTTGTCTAAGATCTGGTGGAGTCTGATTGAATTGCAGCCCTTTTCTCCTTTAGGCATGTGATCATATAGCTCTGGTCTGGTCTGAGATCTGTCTCAGAATTTGCTTGATCCAATCCCACAACATGTCTAGGTTCCTGGTGATAGTAGCTAAATCTCTAAGCCTATCTATCTTAAGTTGTATATATTATACCTTATCTCTTAGTGTCTCTTCTTACACTGTGGTCCTCTGTCACCAAACTAGAATAGGTCCACCTCTCAGTACTCTCACCTCGAGTTTCAAGTGGCTCTTTCCTGATAGTGACAGCCTCATCCAAGCTGTGACTGTCAAACATTCTTCCTGTCGCTGGACCACCAGGGCGTGGTGGAGAGCAGAAATCCTAAAATGCTGTCATGACCCTAATCCACTTCTCACTTCTGACACTGAAGGTGAAAATGAAACAGAGCATTTTCTAGTTATCTAAAAGTTTTATTCACTCAAAGTTGTAGGAGAAATCTTAACTTGCATATTACAGAATTCTGAAAAACTGTCTATGAGTCATAAATTACATTTATTTTTCACCATATAAAATGATTTTTCTCCCCTAAAGGCAAAACCAACACAAAAATGTGTTTTGGGGACTACTTTATTTCCATGCTGAGTGTATATTAATAATGTAATATATCACTTTTATTAATCCTTTTGTAATGAACAACATTTTTTAAGTAGAAGATAAGGTAGACTTGTCACAAAAAAGTGAAACAATATGTATTTTAGGCTATTACTTTTGTTCCTACTTTGCAATCACAAAATAGACATTTTGTCAAATGTCCATAGACTCCCTGGTTTGACAAGTGATATTTTACTCCCTGTCTTCTCTGAGACATTTTTACCATTTTTATTGTTCTAAAATATGTCGTTCATAAAGGAACTGTAATAGAAAAATGTATTACACAAAATAAATAACAAAACCTCCAATTCCAAACCAGCTTAAATATGTAAGGCTTCATGACAACCTATCAACTTCCCTATCACTGAAAGTTTTGTTACAAGTTCTTGCAGAGTGTTTCATGGTAAATTTGAAGATCACGCTGTTCATTCAACTACCTCTACCTTTTACCTTTCCTCTCTCCCCACCAAAGAAAAGAAAAAGCAATAGCAATTAAGCAAGGTTATAATTCTAATTATCTTGTAGCTATAAAGAGAAATTACATTTATTTTACTCTAAAAATGTGATGGAAAAAACTTAAAAAGGATAAAAGTTCCACATCAAGCAAGCTTTCTCTTCATTGAAAGTGGGTCAGATAACAAAAAGATAAATAAAATAGATAAATTAAACTAATAGCATAAGATTAATCAAAATACAATCACTCATTCTAAATCCATGATGGAAGGGATTCACAGTATGTACATTCACTGGAAAAACGTCCCTAATGAGAGCTCTTTGAGAAGACCACAAATTCCCCACTAAGTCATTGTTGCTGAGTAATAGCAGCAACTGGGGCTCAAAAATGCCTCTCTGTATACTTCTCAGAAAGTTGTAACCTTTCAGACTTTCTAATAAACATTGTTAACTTAAAACAAGAATTTTCACAATCTGGTAACAGTGATAAATGAAACACACAGAAAAACATACACTGAGTTTGGAAAGTTCCACATGAAAATAACAATTTCTAGATTAGCACCACATGCTCCCTTTTTGAGGGTATTCTTGGTTTGTCTAACTTCTTAACTTCAAAGCATCAGATGACCTGACTTTTGCTTTGTGTTGTCCAAATCTAGATAAAAAATAAATTAATTTCTTAAGGCTTCTCTTTAATCCTTCTGTCTTTATTTATCTGCTCTGTAACAGCTTTAAAATTACCCTATCACAATGGCTATTTTGTAATGTGTAACCTGTGTCCCAGTGACATTATCTGGAATGCATGACATAAGCAACCTAATTCATTTACATCTCTGCAGGAGAGAAGTTGATTTCTTCCTTTTCTACTGATCAGTAATTCATTCTTATTCAACCAACATACAGACTTTCTACCAAGGCATGCACTTTTTTTATCCACATTGGCTCTTTAGCTCAGTATCAACTTCACAGAGAGATGAACTTACCTTGCACACACCATCTCCTGAACCTGCCACTCCCGACAGGCATCCCCCAGCCTTTTCTGTTGTATAGTATTTAATCTCAGTTGTGGCCTTCATGATTCCATCACAGTAGACATCGACATTGACAAAACCAGCAGGGAAATCTTATAAAACACAAAAATAGAGTTAAAAACTGAACAAATATGTCCCACATTCTATATCTCTTAGAGAACACGTAGGATGGCTTTAAGAATTCATAACAATTTCATTAACTACTAGTGCTTATGTTTTCTTTTTAATTCTTAGAAGTCACAAAATAGGATGTCTAATTTTAGACTTGTATAATAAAATTACAAGAACACATGATAAAACTATTTTTTAAATTATATTTTATTGATTATGCTACTACAGTTGTCCCATCCTTTCTTACTTTGCCCCCCTCCACCCAGCAACCGCCACTCCCTCAGGCAACCCCTACACCATTGCTCATGTCTATGCATCATGTCCTTGGGCTACTCCATTTCCTATCCTGTATTTTACATCTCCATGACTATTCTGTAACTGCCTATTTGTACTTCTTTTTTTAAAATGAAATAGTGGTTTTACTTTTTTTCTTTTAAAACAACATGTTTTATTATCTCTGAGGTCATATATGTTATTTACATAATGAAAAGAGTCAGTATTTAGTAATTATATCCACAGCTGAAAAGTTTCCCAAATCCGGCTTGGTATGAATTAAACTTGAATGTGTTCAAATACACTTTTTTAGCATTCTAGAACGAAAAGCAGATTGAAGACTGAGTTAATTTTTCAAGACATATTTTTCTGGTGGATTTGAGAAACTTGGACAATAGTAGTTATGTAATAAACTGTACATGCATTTCTTCATAACAATATGTTCATCTGTATGAAAGCATATGTTGCACAATACACGGAGCAAATGGCTCATTTCTTTGTAAGAATACCATTATAATATCATTTCATTTACAGTTTTATAGATAGAACAATCATATTTCCCATAGGTTTTTAGAAAACAGTTTTCTTCTTTTCTACACTCTTAAGAACACACTGTTTGATTGTTGTTGTTGTTTTAAAAGATATTTCCTAGTCTCAACATAAAATATGATAATATATGATGTTTGAGTTCATGCTATGTATTTAGGGCTAGCTAATCGTATAGAAGTGAGAATTGACTAGCCATCTAAATTCTGGTTAGTTCTACAGGTCAGAAGGTTAGTAGACAAATGCAGAGTTAGTGTAAGCATTCAGTTTAAGCGTTAGGTTATGCCCAAAATTATCTGTGCCATTCAATTTGTTTAGACTTATTCCTTTTCATAACATTAAAATTGTAGTTATACTTGCATGTATGGTTCAGTTTGAGTTGAAGTTAAGATCTGGATGAATATCGTGGTCAGAATCAGAAGTGGGCTTAGATAATGATCACTTTTTGTTCTAATGATCATATAGAATTCTGTATTATATTTGTACTCTTTAATCCCATTGCCCAAAACACTAAATCCCTTCTCCCTAATGACTAACCTCCATTAAAAAAAACAATCTATGATCATCTTTACATAATACTTTATAATTTAGAACAGTGAAGTTGCTCATAAAAGGTTAGGTATTTGTTACTACTCTCATGAAGAAAATTACCTAAATTATAGGCAAGTTTCTCAAAGTTGTGTTTGAACAGATAAAGAGTAGAGCTGATTGAAATTATAGAAATTTTATTCAATTGATTATAATGAAAAACCCTTGGGAAGGCAAAATTTAATGCCCTGCTATTTGAGTACTAGTTACAGTTACACCATACATTTATCCAAAGCTTTTTTTGAACAAGCTGTTTACAGTGACTAATATATTCTGTTGTGAATTCTGATCTAACATACCAACAGTCCTAGTTATCTAAGAATTTTGGGCCTGCCAGGAAAGAATAACAATAAATAGTCATGTCAATAGAAAAGTTGTATTTTATTGTAACAAAATTAAACATAATTTATCTCTTTTAATTCATTTTCGGAACACACTTTTAAAACTTTGACTCTTTATTCTAGAGACATTTCCCAGATTCTCCTGGAACGCTGTCTGGGGCTTGGAATAAGCCATTAAGTACAAGACTAAAAAGCTAGTTTTAACCCTAACCCCCTAAAGAAGCTTTGAATATTTAAAAGTTCTTAAAGTTTAAACATTAATTTTACTTTATCTCCCAAACAGGTTAAAGGACCTTCTAATATTGCTCAGGGTAATCTAAAGCCAACAAAAACAATCTTAAGCTTTACTAGATGAAACTGAATGAAATTTCCTATTACTGTATTGTTTGACTAGGCACTTGTATTATAAAGGAAATAAAATAGAAAACTTCCCTCTTACCAAAGTAAGTATCTGTCCAATAGAAAGTGAAAGAGAAATCACAGCAAAAAAAAACCCCCCAAAAAACAAAAAAACCCTGAAAGTTGTAAAGTGCTTCTCATCAGTTACAGCTGCACATACATGAGGGTAATGAGGGTTCTGGAGTTTTTGGACTCAAATGAAATCAACTACAATAAACTTCATAAAGATGATTTCAAATGAAAACATGGATGTTGTTTATCAGAAATGAGATTAGGAGTTTTACAATCGGGATTTAACTTTCTGAAAGGAGGCCAGGTGATAAATCATAAAAGAGACATGGTAAGATTTGCCTGCTGGTTCTTTGACATAGAATATTTAAAATGTTCTAAATTCTTTATTAGAAAAATTAGCTAGAAAAAAATTCTAGCTATTTTTTTTCCTGATCTCTGGGGTCATTAGTTGACTCAAAACACTGTTAGATCTAGTGATGATGATGTTAATTTTAGAGTAGTCCTCCAAAGAGATGTCTTTTGAAGTTGTGTTTGCTGTGTACATTTTCACATCAATTGAATGTCAGTGATTAAGTAAGACCTAATTAATGTTTCCACCCATATATTAAGGAGGGCGAGTTATGTATTCATCTGCTTGGGAGGCCCTCTTTCATAATGTTTACTGAAATGACCTTTTTGTGAACAATACCAGGTATGGCTTGAGCTTTACATTAACTGTGGTCATTATGGTATCTACATTTTATAGCTCTTCAATGAAAATAAAGTCAATTCTTTTAAGTGCTCAAGTAGAAGACAGGTAAAGTGAATTCTGCTATTTATTATCTAGATTAAAGTAGGCAAGTCACATTTAACACTGGAGGTACACACAAACATAGGTCAAAATCACCAAACTAAGTAAGGATATAAGAGTCAGCTATGAAGAAGAAAAAAGGCTTATGACAGTCTCTACTTGAGTAGCTCAAGTGTTTTTAATGTCATCCCAATAAATCAAGGTTGCAGGTTCAATCTTTGATGTTTCTTTCTTTCTCTCCTTCTTCCTCTCTCTCTTTTATAATGGAAGAAAAACGGAGCTCCTTGGCCCCATCAGACATAGATAAACAACAAAGTACACTTTTAGAAGAGCAAAGATATAAAAGAAATTCTACTTAAATTTCCAGGCTCAGGGTCTAGGCTCCTCAAGAGTGTCTGTCAACCTTTTCTGTCTCTGCAACTTAAGTGGTCTATCCTTCCAGATGAAGGACAAACTAATTTATGGAAAATATATTCCAAAGGCATTTCTTAAGAGTCAGACCTACATCACTAATTCCATAAAAGGATATTTCACAAATGTACTAATTTAAGAGCTTTTTACTTTCTATATTTACATTGTCTGAGAAGCTGTGTTTTTTTAAGAATCAATTTTAGCCCCTTAACACATGGTAAACTTTAAATGAACCTACCTAATGTTTCCTTGGGGACTGAAATCAACATGACTCTTTTGATTAGAACAATATTATTAAATAAATAGTAGCTTCAAAATCTTGGTTATGTTTAAAAATTAATATCAATTTTCTATATGTTTAAAATTATTTTTCTGAAGTTTAGAAAAAATTCTATTGTTATTTTTCTGTCAGGTTCAGATTTGGCAAATCCTAAAGTATTTTTCATTTTCTTTTAATAAAATATGAAGTTATCATTTATATTATTCAGAATATAATTTCTTAATTAACAAAGAGATTCTATATCTTTGTGGATTCTTTTTATATTCTTTCCAGTTTTTAATTGGTTGTCCCGCTACTGTGGAAAGTATTTTTCTGGCTGATCTGTAGGTACCAGAGAAATACCCTCTTCCTTCTGAATAAAAATTAGTTAATTTTTCTAGTTTAAAGTCCTAACATATATTTGCATATGTTGTGACATACACTGGGACTATAATAACCTGAAATTCTTTTAGCATAAAACAATCTCTGTCAGAGACAAACCTGTGGACACCATTGGGATGGTGTGATTTTTAAAAAAAACAAAGTACTAATAAGTGTGTCAAGTTATTGAGCTGAAAGGGAGAAGGCAAAATTAGAACACTTTTTCTCAAAATAAAAAATCAGGTTAATGTTTGGAAGTGTGTCATAAGGGAAAGAAAGAACATGTAGAAACAGCATCTTATGATTTCTTCCCTGTTTGGCATATTGTACTTTAATATAATTTTGTTATTCTATGAATTGTTACTAAGTTAGAAGGAAACACACTTAAAAAGAACATTAATATGGCACAAGGTTGGGTTAGATGGAGAGAAATCTGAGAGTTTTATCTGAGAACTATAAGAAGGAGACCTTAGAGTATTTGATATAACTCAATGTTGAGAGAATAGTAATACACACACACACACACACACACACACACACTCTTAAATGGTTAGAAGGAGGTATCCAAACATAGAAAATAGAGTAATTAGTCTTAGAGATATCCTTTTCTAACAGAAAATGCTAGTTGCCTAGCCCTATGTCTATTCTCTTCTTCCTGTTAGAACCAGATTTTGAATTTCTTTTGTTGTTGTAGGACACATTTAGATCCAACTAAAAACACTAGATTTTCTGCTCCTCCTTTCAGCTAGATATGACCTTGGGGCTAAGTTCTGACTAATGATATATCAGTAGGTATGCCTTACAGAATCTTTCTTATTTAATGAAATCTTCATTTCTTTATCCCAGTAATGTGTTGAGAAACTGACTCTCCAGAAGGACGAAAAAGCTCTGATTTTTAGATTTGCCAATTTCTGTGGTGTAAATACTCAGGCTATGACTGATTTCAAGCTACCAAAGTGTTATGGATTTTATGGTGTCCCCTGTGACCTAATATTTGTGTTGAAGCCCTAACCCCAAAGTACTGTGTTTGGAAATGAGGACTTGAGCTAATTAAGGTTAAATAAGGTCAGAAGGCGGGGGGTTTATCTAGTAAGACTGGCATCCTTATAAGAAAAGGACGGGACACCATAAGCACAGGTGCACAAAGAAAAGGCCATGTCTGAACACAGAGAAGGTGGCTATCTGAAATCCAAGGAAAGAGATTTTGCCATAAACCAACTTTTGGCCCCTTGATCTTAGACTCCTAGCCTCAAGAGCTGTAAGAAGTAGTCTTCGGTTGGTTAAGCCATCTTGTCTGTGGTATATTGTTAGGAAAGCCTGAAAAGTGTAATACACAAAGTAACATCATTGAATATGAATTATGGAGGAGATACACAAAATAAGCTCTCGCAATCCAGTATGCGATGGTTCCAGCACACCACTGCTTCATCATATTGCTCTGAACATAGGTGCGATGGCAGAAGTCTTAGAAGACATCTTGTTCCATGATAATTATGGCCATACCATAGGACTGCGGAATGCTTGTGGTGATAAGAAATAAACCTGTGCCCTGGAAAATACTGTGAAGCTGTCATACCAGCCCTCAACACCAGCCAGCTTCAGCTCAGGAAACGCTGGTTATAGGACAACAGAACATTTACAAGAAGCAAACTACATTTTATGTGACTGATTAAGTCTTGGGTCAGATGATTAGAAATCTAGTCACAGGAGCATCTTTTCTAGACTAAAAAGAGATTGGACAGATAGACACCTCCTCTTGACACTGATGCATCAATGTTCTTCAAAAGAAATTTGAGAGGGGGAAAGGGTTTCTGGTATGCTTCCACTTTAGGTTTTTGACCCTTCTATTTTAAACCTGGTATTCAAAAAACGTACAGAAAAATGTTTTAAAGATGATGTGAGATACTGATTGAGATCATTTCTTGTCTTGGAAGTCACCAGTGGGTACAGGGACTATATAGGAGATGACAAAGAATTGGGAGCTCTCCTGAGCATGATTCCCCAAGGGTATATGGGGACAATTTGGTAGCTTTTCTATGAAGAGATATAAACAGAGGGCTAAGAGAAGAGGGGGCAGGGAATATGAAGCATACAATATTTATAAAGAAAGATGGACCCCTCAGATGGACTATTAAATAGATGGACTATTTAAAGAAAGTTTTTAAATGGTTTAACACACCCCATCCAAAAGCTGAGGGTGGGTTATTTAATAAAAATCACTCCTTGTATTTAAAGGAATTTCTAGAGGGAGACGTTTGTTCCTCAGTTGGATGTCTGTTTAAGTGTGGTCTTATATCTTATCTTCCTTGTTTCCAAACATGTTATAAATACTTTAAATGTAAGTTAAGTTATTTTTATCAACAAGAAAGTTGAGGCATAGAATGATCAGGAGAGTTGCCTAAAGTTACCCAGTAAATGCCTCCATACAGAAAAAAAAAAACCCAGCTCTTTTGGTCACTAGTTAATTGTTTCTTTGGTTACAAGCAGATTTGGACCTATCATTAGCCTTTAAGAGCATGCTGGTCATTCTCTCTTACTCCACAATTGGTGTAGAAAAAAAGGAAGCTTATTGAACAGTCAGTGCCTTACAACTGAACTTCCTGAGGTGATGGAAAAGTTTAAAAAACCGGATGTTACCAATGGCTACAGTGCTGACCAGTGCAGTTACAAAGCACACTTACTCCAGCTATGGTTTGTGATCCACTAGTACATCATGACATCACTTTAGTAGGTGTTGACTGGCATTAAGAAAAACAAAAAAAATATGTCTTATCTCTCTGCTTATATTACCCATTGCATGTTCTTGCATGCTGTCTTCTCTTCCATTATAGTTCTTAACATATTAATCAGAGTTATTTAAAATTCCCTCTCTGATCATTCCACCATCCTTGTCACAGCTAACTCTGGTCTAATGTTTCCTTTCTCTTTTTAAGCTAATGTTTTATTCTTGGCTTTAGGCATGACTTGTAATTTCTTGAAAACTAGACATATTGTGTCAGGTATAAGAAATGAAGTCAGTAGGCAGTGAGAGTGTAAAGTGGCTAGGAGTTGGGCTGCATTTGGTGTTAGCTATAACTATACATACCAGAAGCTTCAAATTCCTCTATCGTCATTGTTTCTGTCCTCCCTCTTGACCTTCTACTTCCCTACGTACTCCTCCTCAGAAAGATTCTGCATCTTGCCATACTCTCAACTGTAGTCCATTGCCATTATACTGAACCCTGCCGTGGTGGTGGTGGTGGTCAGGTGGGGGGAGGGGAAGCATTCTAATCTTATAAATAAGTCTCAGTCTCTTAATGAGCCCCTGTCTCTTGGTTGTGACCTTTGCAAGTGTTTCTGCTATGGTATAGCTTTCCCTCCCCACCTCCAGGAACACTAGAGAGGGTACAGTGGGATGGATGCCCTTCTTCAGCTGGGATAAAACTCTGGTAAAGTGGTTTCTCCTGGAGCATAGGCTTTGTTATGGAGAACACACTAGGAGTATTTCACCATGATTATTCTCCCTCTGGCCTGGCGGGGGCTCCTGAAGTTGTTTCTTGCACCTTCACTATGAGAACCTGGTGAAGTTCCCAGAGGTAAATCCCACAAAATTACATGTGTCTCACAGGACTACAGTCCCCAGAAGATTCTTACTCAAATTAATCTACATTCAGCCACCAGAAATTTATCAAAATTACCATTTAAGTGTTTCCACCAGTTTCTGGCTCTAATGACTTCTGTTCTAGGTAAGCAGACCTTGGGAATCACTCTCCTGATTTACCTTTCCTTCCGTATTCGGGAATGGTGGTTTGCCCTGCAACCACAGTTCTCAGTGAACTCAAGAAAAGTAATTTATTTTGTTTGTTCAGTTTTGTTGTGTGTGTGTTGCAGGAGTGGGAGTGACAGCTTCCAAGTTCTACATGATAGGGCTGACACCGTTAGTTTAATGCTTTTAAACTACACTATTGCTTTTAAAACCTATGTTTTAATTATGGATTTATGCATATATAATCATACTGGGTTCTAATATAAAGTGTAGTTCTCACTAGGGCTCAAAAACATTTAAGATTTTATGTATTCAATTTTAGAGGGAGGGGAAGGGAAGGAGAAAGAGAAGGAAAGAAACATTGATGTGTGAGAAAAATTTTGATTGGCTGCCTCTTTCATGTACCCAGCTGGAGACCTGGCCTGCAACACTGGCATGTGTCCTGACTGGGAATCGAACAGGTAACCTTTTGGCCCACAGGCTAGTGTTCAATCCACTGAGCCACATCAGTGAGGGCAGGGCTCAAAAAATTTAAGTAACACTGTCATGAGGCAGAGAAAATAAAACTCTGGGGTCATGTCTGCAGAGGAATGTCCAATCCATATTCCCACACATACACATGGCATTAGTCTATATATTGCTACATACCACATAGCAGACAAAATTTCGTAAGAAAAATCTCTCATTGATTTACAGAACAGAATAGTTGAGAGAAAGACTCTGAGAGGTTTAATTAGCATAACTAGTAAATAGTGGTTTATTTTTTTCACTACAAACTTGCTGTTCAATTATATAGACATATAATGAATTAGCATAACTTGGGAAATGCAGACTATTCATTTCTTGCTTTTCTGAAAAACATTTGAACTTTGATATGCTTTATTCTTCGCACTGCTTTTAGTACTAGGTAAACAGAACAGAAAATCGTAATGTGAGTAATTTTATTTGACATTTTGATCTGCTATTTGGGAAATATTGTCTAAGTACTTATTAATTTGCAATATTGATTTTTTTCTGTAGTGATTTTAGTCTAACTAGATTTAGTTTAACCTCTAAAATTAATTAGTTAGAAATTAGTCTTCATTAAATCACTTTAAAATGTGGCATGAGGAAGTAGGGGTCTTTGGAAGAGAAAGAGACAAAGAGAGTTCTTTCTCATCTCACTCCTGCATGTCCTTGTCCATGAGAGAAAGCAATCTCTAAAATGTTTTAGAGTCTTTCCTTTCTACCATTGAACACACATCTCAGCTGTACAAGGAAATCCATAGCGGGGACACATGCTCTGCATAACATAATAGAAAAGGTTTGCAGATGCTCTGTAAATGGACATACTTCATAACAGGTACATTAAAAAGCTCAGGATGCATTTGATAGACTCTTTACTTTTAAATATTTTTACATTTCCAAATTCATAGTAAGGTGGCATATCTTTTACTTTAAAATATTTAATGAAGTTCACATTTATAAAGTTTTATAAGGTAGTTTTATTCTCTGATTATAAAATAAATACATAAAAAACAAGTAGCCCTACATTTTTATCAAAACATTCAGAAATTAATAGAGTAGACTTTGAATTTAGTACAATTATTGTGGCAAGTGTGCATATTCCATCTGATACTATTTACCATGCTGCAAGCAGAGTTGCATAATGAGATGGTTAGCTTCATAAATTAAATTAGGAAAAGAAGGGAAGATTGTATATAGAAATGTTACCATGAGTAAAATATTGAAAAAGATTTATGCTTTCCAAAACAACCAAAAATATACTCAGGAGCATGACCAAAAAAAAAGAGAGAGAAGAGAGGCAGGGTGGGAGAAAGAAAGGGAGGGAAGAAGGGAAGGAGAAGCAAAAAAATTTCAAAGTTCATTAATGGAAATCCAAATACTTACTAATCCTGTTATAATAAAGCTCATAATTTTAGTTCTATAATTAATAGCTATCATATATTCAAGTATTCTCTGCTGACATATATAAAAATGTGTGATGTAACTGGGTGCTGTTTCACCACATGGCACACAAGCTAATTTCTCATAATTTACACATTTGTACTCTGGAAAATTCAGATTAGTAGTAACAACTTTGGGTGTGTGAAAGTTAACACAGGAAACACCTGCAGGACAATATTAGTTTCTGTAGGGAAGTGAAACCATTTATCATAAATTTATTGAAAGAAATTCAGGATGGTGTTTTATATTTATTAAAGCATAAAATAATTTCTTACCTAAAGCTTTCATACACCAGACTGTTTTATTCCAAAGGGTTGGCCGTATTCTAATACATTTATTATCTGACGTAAATCGAACCTCCACAGCATCACCAATTACTTCATCTCTCAAAATAATAAATATTTCACCAGGATTCTATAAAATAAAAATAAAACCCAATTAAGAATATGAAAAAGTTTACATTAACCAAATAACACACTGAAATTATTAATGATAGAGGTTGAATATGGTCATTATGTCTTCTATCATGTCCATATCTTCAACCATATTTAGAAAGGAAATATGTAAATGTCAATCTCATTACATTTTGAGTTTATGGACTTGGTGTTTATTGACTACTCAATTTTTTTTCAATACCTTCTGTTGCAACTGAAAAACTAGTGAGCATATAGCTGCTTCCTTTTCCTCTTGTCTCTTCCCTGTGTGAGAGGCTCCCTGTCTCACAGACCTCCAGGGTACTGTAATTCAACCTTTAAAACAAACCCTTTTTCCAAATCTTTTTCCTCTGCCTTTCTAGAACTTTGTGTATTTATCTATGAATGAAAGGACTGAACATTTAAATATGGTGATTTAAAAAAAAAATTTAAGTGTAAAATTTTTAAAGTCCAGTTGTTTTAAATCTTACCTAACAGAGATTCTCTGGTTAGTCTATTTATGCTGAGTGTCTGTAAAGGTCATTGAGTTGACTAAAGTTTATAAGTCTAAAAGTTTAAAGATTTTTATTAAGGTGAAAAAGCAAAATCTATGTAAAGGTTTTTGAAAATCTATTGGAAACTTTTTTAAATTAGGGATAAGAAGATTGAAATTAATACAGAGAAAGAAAAGTATATATTTATTAAGTATCTCTTTTATACTGAAACTTATTGTAAGTAAATTTTATATAGTTTTTAAAAAAATTCTAACCAAAACATACAAGAGTATATATACATACATACACATGCAAATAAATGCACACATCAAAACCAAAATGGGGAGAATCAAGATGGCAGAGGAGTGAATGGACGTCACAATGACCTCCTCCCAGGACCAATCTGGAATTACAACTAAATTGTGGCGAAATCACCTGCAACAAACAACTAAACAATAGCGAGAGAGGAGCCTTACAACCTCAGACAGACAGAAGAATCAGTTGTAGCACAAACCGACTGGTAAGGACTGTGATAGAGACTTGAGAAGGAGGGCAGGGCACCCACAGGTGGCAGCACCAGAAGGATATTGAACTATTGAACAGCCAGTTGGATCCCCCTGAGAAGAGCGGGGTCTAAACCATAAGAGGGAATCTCCAGCCTAGAGCATCAGAGCACAAAAAGTACAGATAACAGCTAGCTGTGAAAAGCAGCAGGGTTACTCTCTGCCAGAGACAGGTGGCTAGAGATGCAAAGAGCCTTTTAAAGGGCCAACACATAAAATTTTATTTGCAGTCACTTACCCTGGTCTCTGGCAAAGACAGGGGCAGAGTGGGCTAGAGACGCCTGAGGAGAGACTGGGGAATGAGGCTTTTGGGAGAGAACTGATAGAGTAGCTGGCCAGATCCCAGTGCTGACTCATCCCCTATCTGGCAGCAGCCATATTGCTCAGGCAAACCATTCCCCTGAACGGCAACAATGTGAAGGGACACAATAGCCTTGCCACAAGGAGGCTCGGCCCTGGCCCAGTAGTGCTAAAGCCTGACTGCTGAGTACAGGGTAGCAGCCAAAGATAGTAGATCCCTGGCTAAAGGAGGTGCAAAATTGGTCTAGAAACACTTGAGGAGATACTGGAGATGGAGGCTTTGGGGAGAGAATAGAGAGAGTAGCTGGAGGGATCCCTGTGCTGACTCCTCCCCATATGGCAGCAGCCATCTCTCTCAGGCAGACCACTCCCCTGAGTGGGAGCAACGTGAGAGGACTCAATAACCCTGCCCCCAGGAGAGACCCTGCCCTGCCCTGTGGTGTATAAGCCAGCCTTCTGAGTGCAGGGTGACTAGATTAACAGCTTAGGAGAAAGCCACAGATAGTAGATTCCTGGAAGTCTCGGAAAGACTGCCTAAGGTCAGTTAGGCACAACATCTGACATTATCAGAGGCAGATCCAGAAAGAAAAAAAAGCAGTCTCCCACCATAGAAGTTCATACCACAAAGTCAGGAAATCAAGACAGATCAATTTAAGAAGCAAAAGCAAAAGCAAAAGGAAGTCTCACAAATAATGGGAAGACAAAGAAACATCCCCAAGTCAAAGGGAAAGGAGGAATCCCCAGAAAGAGAACCAAATGAAATAGAGTTAAGTAAACTATCAGATATTGAGCTCAAAAAAACAGTTCTAAGGAAGCTCAATGAGCTAAGTGAGCTCAAAGATAATTACAAAAAAACTAAAGGAAAACTATGAGGAACTTACTGCAAACTATATCAGCATGAAAAAGGACACGGAAACTATCAATAAGAGACAAGGGAAAATGAAGAATACGATTTCTGAATTGAAGAACACAGTAGAAGGAATAATGAGCAGGCTAGATAAAGCTGAGGACCGAATCAGTGATCTGGAGGACAAGGTAGAAAAAAGCTCCCAGAAAGAGCAAGAAAATGAAAAAAAGACTCAAAAAGAATGAAGAGGCATTGAGGGAAATGCAGGACAGCCTGACACATAATAATATCTGTATAATAGGGATACCAGAAAGAGAAGAAGAAGAGGAAGGGATAGATGCAACCCATTTGAAAAAAGTAATGATGGAAAACTTCCCTAACTGGAAGAGAGAAAAAGACACAAGTCCAGGAAACACAGAGGGTCCCATTTAAGATGAATCAAATGAGGCCAACTCCAAGACACATCATCATTAAAATGGCAAATATCAAAGACAAACAGAATCCTAAAGGCAGCAGGGGAGAAACAGGTAGTAACATAGAAGGGAGCCCTGATATGGCTAGCAGCTGACTTCTCAACAGAAACACTACAAGCCAGAAGGGAATGGCAAGAAATATTCCAAGTCAAGAAAAGCAAAGGCCTGCAACCAAGACTGCTCTACCCAGCAAGGCTCTAAATTAAGATGGAAGGCAAAATAAGGAGTTTCCCAGACAAAAGAAGGTTAAAAGAATACACCTGCACCAAACCAGCATTGCAAGATATTTTAAAGGGACTGCTTTACAAAAATGAAGAAAAAGAATCTATGAATACCCAGCTCCTTTCACAGTCACTAATACTTGATATTACCAATATTTTTAATACTTATTAACCTGATTGTGACAATGATGTGATGTTACTTTATTATTTGTTGAAACCTAACCTATTTTTGTATATTTCTTGCCTATTTCTATTATTTTCAAAAAACTTTAAATGACGTTTTGGTATTCTTTATCCATTTTTTTGACTAAAGGTTTGTAGAAATTTTTCCTTTAAGAAAACAAAACTATTAACCGTTTTTTAGATGTGTTGCAAATACATTCCTATTCTATTACTTGTCCTTTAACTTTTCTTATATGTATATTACTGTGTAGTCTTAAATGTTTAATATAATCATATTGTCAATATTTAACTTTATAGCTTCTGGGTTTGAATATTTTACTTCAGGGTAATAAAAATATTATTATGTATTTTCTCTTAAAACTCCTTAGATTTTACATATTGATTTTTAATTTGCCTTAATATTTTTTGTGTAATGTGTGAAATAAGACTCTATGTTTGTTTTATTTGAAGTAATAGTGGTTCATGCACCTTATTTGTTGAATAAGCCTTATTTTCCCCATGGATTTGAAATATCAATTTAATCACATATTACACTGTGAGACAGATATATACATTTGTTTCTAGAATGCTCGTTTTATTTCATTTATCTACTTGATTATTTCTGTGCTGGTTTCATGTTTTAATTGCTGAAACTTTATAATGGATTTAAATTTTTTATTATTTTATAATAGATCTTGACATTTAAAAAATAAATAAAATAAATCTGCATTTAAAAGAAAAAAGAAAGAAAGAAGGAACTCCTACCTTTTGCGACAACATGGATAGAACTGTAGAATATTATGCTAAGTGAAAGAACCCAATTGGTGAAAGACAAATACCATATGATCTCACCCATAAGTGGAATGTGTTCAAAAAAATAAACTAATGAACAAAATAAACCACGGGCATGGAAACATGGAGCAGACAGTAAGTGACCAGAGGGAATGGGGAAGGAGGACAATAGTAGAAAGAAGAAGAGGCTAAACAAAGAACATGAATGAATGACCCACGAACATGGACAACAGAGTGGGAATTGACTGAAGGAGCAGCGGGGTGGAGTGGGATGGGTGGAGGAGGACAAAGCGGGAAAAATTGAGACAACTTAATAGAATAAACATGATTTAAAAAGAAAAAGAAAAAAATGGAAAAATAAATTTTAAAAAATGGGAGACTATTATCTTCTTTTCTGAACGGGGTAACTAATACACAGAGTTACGTCTGAAAATGCATTAGAACTACCTAAATTTAAAATCTGCACTCTAATTCTTTAGATTATATTGCTTAACCCTTCAAAATAACCAAAGGGAAATACTATTTTTATGATGATCTCAGATATACTCTTGAAAGACTTTCTTCAAAGTCGAACTAAATTTAAGTTCTTCACAAAATAAACAGGAACCTAATTTTATACTCATAAAATCATGATTACCCAATAGTCATTAACTTCAAAGTTCTCCTATTTAAATATCTCCCAAAGCAAAAATCACCCACCAATAAAGCTAACATCTATAATGCTCTGTACCAAAGTGTTTCTATAAATTCGTTGATGTTACAAAATCATTTCAGCTGACGCACATTCACTTTGGGAGTTTTCCACCAGGGTCCAATGCTCCCAAACAGTACTTGTCCACTGGATATTGTGATCTAAATTTCTCCTCACCAATTGAATTGCATGCACATCAAGAAAAGTTCCTACACAGCAGAAAGAAAGAAGGAAGTCCTACCCTTCACAACAGCCTGGATGGAACTGAAGAGCATTATGCTAAGTGGAATGAGTCAGGCAGTGAAAGACAAATACCATATGTTCTCAACTGTAAGTGGAACTTAATCAACAAAACAAACAAGCAAGAAAAATAAAACCAGAGACATGGAAATAAGGAACAGACTGACAATGATGAGAGAGGAGGAGGGAGGAAGACAATGGGGGAGAGAAAGGGAAGG